ATATTTTAATGTTCTGACAGATATGATACAGAATTACAGAATTCTAAGTTCGTCTGTTCTCACCTGACATTGACGTCAGCGGTCACCGTTAAAATCATTCACGGATCAGTACACTCTTGCTCTCTGCAGGTGGAGGAGGCGAGGAGGAAGAAGTTTAACGGCACGGTGCAGACCGTCCCTCAGACGATCACCGTCATCCCCGCCAACATCGCCGCAGCCACCAACGGCTTGCAGTCCATCTTCCAGACGTGTCAGATCGTCGGACAGCCGGGCCTCGTCCTCACTCAGGTGGCCGGTAACGGCACCGCCATGCCTGTCGCCTCCCCGATCACCCTGACGGTCGCGGGTGTCCCCAGCAACCAGCCAAAAGCTGCGGAACCATCCACGTCGGAATCAAAGACGGAGATGTCGGTATCTTCGGCCAGCATGCCGCTCGGTTTGGACGCAGCAGGGACGAAACCGAAGAAGTCGAAGGAGCAGCTGGCGGAGCTGAAGGCCAGCTACGGCAGGAGGCAGTTCGCCACAGAGGTGGAGATATCTCGGCTCATGCAGGTCACCAAACTGTCCAAGCGAGCAATAAAGAAGTGGTTCAGCGACACGCGATATAACCAGAGGAACTCGAAGGATCACCACGGTGTCCTGCTGAGTGAGGCGGTGCCCAGCAGAGCTGTGTCAGCAGGGGGAGGCAGAGCAGGAAGGAACAGCAGCGGGAGTCTGAACGACAGCAGCTACAGCGACCCCCCCACCACCACCATTGTTATCGACTCCAGCGACGACGCCAGCGACTCCTCCCCAACCTCTGCCAACGCCCCGGGGTCGTCCTGTTCATCCAGTGACCTCAGGGTCAAATTCCGCCACGCCTTCCCTGACTTCACGCCACAGAAGTTCAAGGAAAAGACCCCGGAGCAGCTGCTCATCCTGGAGGCCAGCTTCCAGAAATCAGACACACCCTCGGACGAGGAGCTGAGCCGGCTGCGAGCAGAGACGAAGCTGACGAGGCGCGAGGTAGACGCCTGGTTCACAGAGAGACGGAAAATGCCGCCAGCGGCCAAAGACGACGACAGCGACGGCGACGGAGAGAAGGTCAAACCAGCCTCGCCTCAGGAGAAGCACACGACTCCTCCTGGTGGCAGGAAGGTGATGAAGAAGACGCCCGAGCAGCTCCACATCCTGAAGAAAGCGTTCGTCCGCACGCAGTGGCCGACGGCCGAGGAGTACGACCAGATGACGGAGGACAGCGGCCTCCCGAGGTCGTACATCGTCAACTGGTTTGGAGACACACGCTACGCCTGCAAGAACAGCAACCTGAAGTGGTACTACCTCTACCAGAGCGGGAAGGTTTGTTTGACCACATGTCAGAACGACGTAGATACTTTAAAACATCTGTTGATAGAAACTTTTTTACAGCGTTGATGCAACAGCAGTCGTGGTGTTTTTTTTTTTTGAAACACACAGGAGGACGAGGCGCTGAACGGGGGGGCCAAGAAGAAGCAGAGGAAGCGTCACCGAGGTTGGTCCAGGAGGACGCGCCGGCCTTATCCCTGCAAACGTTCCCCACAGGGGGGCGCCACTGCCATCAAGGTCTGTGCATGCGAGTCATCGTAGATTGAAATGTGGAGCTTTGTGTGTAGCTCGCTAACTAAATCTGTCACGTGCTGAAGCAGCTTTTAAAGACGTAGTTAATTTCCATTTGGGGCTCAGGCTGTTTAATCTTGATATTAAAATACGATGCAGTTCCAACAAACACAGACTTGTAAACACAAGCCTGCATGAAGTCAGTGCTGCTCACTGACACGAGCAGAGGTCTGTGATTTATCTGATGCGTGAAGCAGCAGCATCATAAATTCACTGCACAGACTCTCGGTTCGTCTCATTTGATATCTGATCAAATTCAGAAAACCTACCTCAGATCCATTTGTCACAGGCTGCTCACTTCTCTTCTTTCCTTCCTCTGCAGGTGAAGTCCGGCAAATTGTTTCTGAAGGACTACTACCACAAACACCGAGCCCTGAGCGAGAGAGACCTGGACGACCTCGTGACCAAGTCCAGCATGAGCTACGAGCAGGTGAGGGACTGGTTCTCCGAGACCGCCAGGAGGGTGGAGGAGGGCAGAGAGCCGTTCAGCGACGAAGAGGCCGAGGGAGAGGAGGCCGAGGGAGAGGAGGATGAGGAGGAGGAGGAAGAGGAAGGGGAGGAGTTGGAGGCAACGCCGGCAGAAGAGCACAGAGGCAGCGAGGAAGAGATGGAGGTGAAAGAACAAGGAGAGGAGGCCTCAGACGACGACTGCAAGGAGGAAGACGAGGAGGAGGCAGAGTTGGAGGAGGAGATCCAGGAGGAAGCTGGAGAAGTCAGCCAATCACAGCCTCAGGCAGAGGAGCAGACATGAGACAACAGGTGAGCACAGCGACACATTTTCTGTTTTAATGAAGGAATAAAACAGATCAATCCTTTTCTTCATGTCAGACCATCGTTAGCTGAGACAGATTCAGTTAACGAGCAGGACGGTGAATTCTGACTTCACAGGAACAAATAAATGATTCTACATTCAGTCATCAAACTACTGATAAATGAAATCATTCTTTAACTTCGTTCAATCTGCCGTCATCTAAACTCTGTCCTGGAGAACATGTTCTATCAATTATAATCTTTATATGAAGAGTTCTAAACTGAGTTTGGAGAATTTGTCCTCTCTCTGTAGGATGAATGAGCAGGTGTGGCTGCAGGGGGCGCTGTTCGCTCACCAAAAGACAGTGTCGTTATTAACCTGAAGTGAATCAAGAAGAAAACCTTGAAATTAGAAAATAAGAATCTGATGAAGATAAAATCCTCAGATGTCTTTGTCCTGATTCAGTTTGATGCATCAGAAACGAGAACTGTATAAATATCTGCTCGTCGTCAGTGACTCGAGTAAACGTTCTGAATCTGAGACTATTCAAACATCTCCTTTGTTTTTTCTTTCCGCAGAATTAGCATTGCTTCCCCCACTGTGGAGACGGCCCAGACGGAGATATACAGGTATGTCAGTGTTTCTCAGCTGGCGGCTCGGGACCCAAAGACGCCGCAGGAAGCTCAGACAGATCACGTGACACTGAAACGACGGCCGTTGTGCCTTCGAGTTGAACTTTGGGTCCTGATGAAGCTGAGAAGCACTGAGTCGACGGAGCGGAATTAAAGGACGACTCAAGTTCCGACGAACTGCGGGGACCAACTCAAGGTCAAAGACGACGCCTCTCACCGAGCGGCGGCGCCACGAGAGTAAGTTCCAGCTCTGCTCCTGTACAACTCACAAGCCTTTTATTCTGGTGAGAATGACGGGGCTTTTGTTTTGGCCTTTAAAGTCACTTTTTCTTATAAAACAAACTGCGTTTTAAGGTAAACTTCGTATAAAGGAAAAAAAATCCAAAACATTTCTAAGAGGTGAGACCTCGTTCTGTCGTTAAAACAACTTTCTCTCAAGGGAACGAACGTTTTCTCCCCAAAACCCGACAGTGAAAACTTTTCTCTCCTCTAAAAGAAAAGGTTTTTAAAACCACAACTGTCTGTGAATAGAAGAGTCGAGTTAGTGCCATTGTGTTAATAACTTTGTTTTAAATAAAAAAAAAAAAAAGTGCTGGAATAAGTTCCACGTTTTAACTCTTTTATATTTTTTCAAGTGATTTGTTACGAGTCTGATCGACACTTAATGGAACCTGATTCCATTGTACGACGACTACGCTGTTTTAAGTTCTTTTGAAAACAGTGATCATTTCCATGTCGGCAGGTGTTTGGGTCCATTCAGCTTCAAGGACGTCCATTCAGATTTTACCTCCAAACACGAATCACTCAAACACAAGTGAAGCCAGAGACGAGACAAAAACAGAAACTTCAAAAATCCATCGTTAAGCATCAGAGTTACAAACTGAAACTGTGGAAACAAACTCAAACCTTCATCCAACACAAAGGAAACGACGATCTCTGTTAAATCTGTGTTTCGATTTTCAAAATCAAATCAAATCATGGATCCTTCGCTTGTCACGGTTTCACTTTCACCTCCTCGTCACGAGTCGTCTGCTCTGACCTCAGATTCATTTCTTCACTTGATCGACTTTAAAGGGATTTGAACCCGATAACTGTTTGTATCGTCGTCCAAAAGATGAAATAAAGTTTATACAGAGAAAAAAAAACCAAGGCATGTTTGCTCTACTTCAGGAAACAGGCAACTTTACCTCAGAGAGTTAAGCTACAAAAACTCAGTAAGATTGTGACATTTACACTTTACGACAGTTTTAAAATAAATACTGTATGCATGAAAATATAAGTAGACAATTTTATTATGTCTTTTCAGACGGCGTTTATTTGTCCTCGCCAAAGTAAGAGAATCAGACAAAAATAGGAGACGTATAGTTATTTGCATTTATTTGCTCCAATACGGGTGAAACTGGTCGACAATAACTTTCAGGTTTTCCACAAGAATCACAGACGATGAAAACACAAGCACTTGGTTCGGTGCCGTCGGGAACTTTTTAACTTTTTCATGCGTGTGGGGGAAAAAAAGAGAAGAAATAAGCTTCTAGTTTGCTTTTCTCCGCTCTCTTCCTGTTTACTGAACCATGTCGGAGCCTGTTAGCATATGCAAACGTCACAGAACAATCAGCGGGCAGAGCGGGGAACTGTAAAAAGCAACGTCTCTGATTCAGTTTTTTTTAATCAAGATTTCTTCAGACACGAGATCTTTATACGAGCTGTGTAATTTTGCAAAGTTAATTCTTTCTGCCCTTTCTTTAAATTGCTTTAATAGAAAACAGTTGTTAGTAGTTAATTTATTTATTATATCTGGATTTCATGGATATCTTTTTTTTTTTGTCTGCAAGCAAAAGAAATAAAAAGTGAAAAAACAGATTTGATTCAGCTGCTTTTTTTTTTCTGTTTTTACTTTAATCCTTTGTTTCTGTGCAACGAGGACACGCCCACACATACATGAAGGTCGCCTCCCGCTCACTTCCATTCGGTCCGAGCAGTTGGTGAACTTTGACCTGCGACGTCTCCGCCTCGACCAATAGAAACGCTTCTGAAACGACAGAAACATCTTTAAACATTTATTTAAATGACTTTGATTTTAGTTCGGTTCATGTCCCGTCTGCTAACATGGAGGAGGAGGGTTGATGATTTATACGGTAAGCTGCCACCAGGGGGCGGTCGGGATGATTTGGCTTCACTCTGTCTGTATTTATAGTTTTATGGTGTTTAATCATCGGAGTCCGTTCACCGACACAATTTCTCACCGTTTGATATTCTGATAATTTTACTCAATTAAGAATCTCAAATAAACGAATTAGCATAAAACCTCTTCCGTCCATTTTCTTCATGTGATTAAAGACATAAGAGATGAAAGCCGCTGCTGTGATTTAGATTTTAGAAGAGAAAGATTTGACGCTTGTTATTCGTCCGACGTGAATCATGTGAAAGAATTAGAAGCAACTTCTTCTCCGTCAAGGTTCAGTTTGACCGGATGTTCAAAACGCCTGAAATGTTTGAAAAATCTTTTCTCGCCGTCTTTCTTCTCGCTCGCGTTGCGTTTCCTCGTAAACAGCAGCGGCTGCTTTGTTTCCCACACTGAGCCTCGGTGACCCGCCTGACTCATTCAAGATATTCAGTGCTGTCGCCAAGTGCGCCTGGTGAAATGCCATAGAAACCAGCAGCACCATAGAAACCAGTCGAACCAGTCCAGGGAACACTCTGTTCTCCACCAGATAACAACCGCAGCCTTTGCATTCTTCTCTCCACCTCCTCACCCGTCGCTCTGCCTCCCTCAGCTCTGCCTCTTTCACCCTTTTGTTTTTTATTTCCTGATTTGCGGTGGAATATCTGTGTGTTTTATCCGTGAGGTTGCCGGAGACGTCTGCAGGAGCCATGTTGGGGCGTTTGACACGTCTGGGAGCTTTGTGAGGCTCTGCACCTGTTTTCTCCAGCAGGTGGCAGTGTGAGCTCAGACACCACCTCCCCCGACTCTACTGTAAATCATGTATGGCTGCTCGGGGTTATGTTCACAGATCTGGGCATCAGCCAGCCTTCCTGGGAGTTCACTGGCTGGAAACCTGCTGCCGCCTCTCCTTCTCCTTCTCTTTTTTTTCTTGCATATTTCTCTTTTCTTCCTTCGTTTTTTCAGTGGAACAATTTGGGGGAAAAGGTTGATTCATGTTCGTCTAAACACTTGTGCTCTGCCCCATTTTGTGGCGTCGGGTCTCCCTCAAAAACACCAGTTACACGCCACAAATGGTCTGGCAGGGGCCGCTGTGAAAACACGAGCAGACCGCCGGCCTCGCAGGGGATAAAACTTCCCCCTGCTCAGCAGAGGAAATTAAAAAAAAAAAAAAAAGAAGAAGGGAGGGGTAAGACGGAGAGAGAGAGGCGGCGACCAAATAGTTAACCTGCACAAGACCCGTCTGAACCAGGGGTGGGACCTGCTCTCCTCCCTAATCACAGCTGAGAGAGAGGGAGGAGAGAGAGAGGGAAGAGGAGGAGAAACAGAGGGAGGGGAGAGGGAAGAGAAAATTAGAGCCGACACGAGTGTTGTAACGGGCCGAACAGAGGCTGTGTGAGGATAACGGAGAACCCTTTCACTACTGACCTACTTCTGTGTGTGTGTGTGTGTGT